GAAAATCCCGACTCCGAACTTTGCCCCGTCTTCAGGTTAGCCCCCTTCCGAAGTAGTGCGTTTTGCAGTGTTTTCTTATTTCTCCAGTTACGGGACAACCAGAATAACGGGTCGTCAAATACATAAAGCGCGTAGTAGTCGTAGTAGTAGTAGTAGTAGTAGTAGTGGTATTACTACTACTATTATTATTTTTAGTATTTCTGATGATAGTAAGAATATGTAACAATAGTAGTGGCTTTACTGCTCTCAACACACGGCTATTCGAAGCAGGAACAGCCTCTCAGCCTGGGGAACCCGGGGCAGTGGGGGTTGGGGGCAAAGGCCCAAAACAAGTCTCTACCACGCTGCCGGCAATGAAAGCGTGGCTGTGCACGATGGGCTGTACCCCGGTGGGCTGTCCAAGGGGGCGGACCGGGGAGTAAACAGCCGAGGCCTGGGCCTCAGTTTTTGTACAATTTCACGGTGACTGTCATTTCTACCTACATCTTACGTGCAATGTCATGCGCCGTGCAGGCCAAGAAGGCCGTCCAGATCCTCGGACCGTTGCTGGCAAAGTGCAGTTCCTAAGATGTGGGCCTTGTGCCTCGAGCGTCGAAGCAAGGAGCCAGCCAAGGAGGAACAGTGGGTAGGGACATTACGAAGTCGGTTCTGTATCAAGGATGACTGACAGTGACTTTGACTAGAATGACTTGAAGCAAGTTGGCGTACTGCGTTGGACGCTGATTTTTCTTTCTGCTCGGAGGGGTGGTGCGGGTTCGCTTCTGGGTGTGTCTGGAGCATCTTCGTGTTTGCAACATTGAGATCTCACAAACAGCCGCTGCGGATTCTTGTTTTCTCCATGAGTACACTGAGGTTTAACCCCTCTTGAAAGTCAGCCATGATATTTGCCCATCTACTTTGTCCCGTCTTGCCTTGAAGCATGCGCCTTTGGCCCTGCCACATTTTGCTGTGGGGTTGCCAATGCGCTGCCTGCCAGGGACTTCTAAGAAATTATGCGTGCGCGTGTTTGCTCATGCGGGAGCTATCCCTGGGGCATGTGCCCCGGTGTGGTTTGGCAATGGTTGGCCGGGAATCCCAGGGGTGACGGTGATCTTCAGGGGTATGAACGCGGGGTTGCAGGAGCACTGCTTTTGCCGGAGGTCAAGTCAATGTGGCAGAGGCACTCGGCATGCTTCAATCCCAAGATGGGACACAGCTCGCTTCACCTTTCATGCCTAGAGAGTCCACCAATCATCAATTGATGGTGGGGCCGAAGAGTGACCTGTACATGTCCAAACCTATAAAGGTTTAATCCAGTCGAAGCAGGGCATGCTTGCAATCAAGGTGCGCATGTTTGTATGTGTCCACTTTGGCATTTGTAAGCTTGAGCAAAATGCAGCAGGCTATGTGTTGGTGGAAACAGGTGTGGGTGTTTTTCGAGAACACATGAGTTCGACTTTCCATCTTGCAAAGTCTCCGTACGCGAACTGCTTACAGTACATCAAGCATTAACGTGCCGCACTGTACATAATAGGATTGCTTGACTTCTTGAGGCTGAATTAGAGAAAAACGTTAATACAGCAAACAAGAACATAATGCAAGACTCATTCGGGGTCTGAGATGGAGTTGGCCAGCTGGGAGCAGTGGGGTCAGTTTTGTCGCATTGGCGTCCTGTTGTTGCAGCTGGTTGGCAAACCTCCACGCAGCGATCGGCGCAAACAAGCTCTTGTCGAAAAAGCTCGTGGTGGCATCTATCGGTCCTCGGCTTTCATTGCAGATCGAGTACCAGCGCGGGTGAAAGTTCCCCAGCAGTTCTGGATGTTTGATGCAGATGCGTGCTGGCCTCGTTCAACGGCATCATCCAAGACGAGCGTCAGGTGCGGAGCGGCTAAGCAGCCGTGTGGGATTGAAATGATACCATGCAGAGATGTGGCGCAGTTACGCGTCAGTGGTCGAGTCGGCCCGACGATGGCCCTCCCTCCCTCCAACCAAGATGGCCAGCAAAGGGCACGTGATCGGCCACCATGAGAGGGTGCCGCTACACGGCAGGCTCAGTCAGCCGACTTCAACGCAACTTCGTGCTGGAGGGAGTCGCCCAGACAGTCCCGCCGGCCACGACGCGAAAGATGTAACGGTATCTACGGCAGAGTGCGGCGATGTTTGTTCATAACGCTCTGTGCGAACTATACTCTCATTCCATTTAGTCTGATGCTCATTTGTTGACCATGCGCATTTCAGCCACAAGAGCATGCCAAGAACCCCCAACCACCTGCAGCTGGCAGTGCTAAAGCCTGAAAGGGGGTTTAAAGACCTTTGTCTGCGTGCCCTTTGAATTTTGCTCCATCGCTTGGACGACAGGCTCACACATGTCACACACGCAGCCCATGGCAACAGTTTCTCAATAGATCACGGTGGGCGGGCCACAACATGTTCATTTTCCAGTTCCTTCAGAAACTCAGATCCCCCAAGCAGTTATGGAGTGGAGGAGATAGCCCTCATACGTGAGGGTCCTGTAATCCGCGCGTACTGCGAGGACCTGTTCTACGACCAGCCATACCCAACAACCCAACACTGCATGATCAGCAGACCACCTGTGCTAGCTCAACTGACTGCCTGCAATGGTCATAAAGGCCTGCTTCTGCAAGCACATTTGCAAACCACCTATAATATACCATAGCATATACCATAACATACGATAGTATTCAGTACAGCATCTAACATACTATAGTATACCATCATATGGCATAATATGCTATAATATATTTCCCTGTATAACCCCTATATAACCCCCTTATACAATATAGTAGTTTGAAGCATGAGTTGGCAGGCCCAAGTGGAAGATGGTCGCATCACAGAGGCCGCGTCAACAGAAGCTCCTAAAACAGAACAGCTACGTCAGCCTACCCAAATATATGCCCCTATAATATTTTATCCCAATATCATCCCAATAGAACCCCCTATACCCCTATATAACCCGTTATAGTAATTCATCCCCAATATATACTTATGATACTATAGTAGTTTCCATTTCCATTATCCCTACGTAGCCCCTAGAAAAACCTATAATAATATAGTAGTTTGTATTTTCGTTTCCATTATCCCTATATAGCCCCTACATTATCCCAGGATGCTCCAGAGGAACATCCCATTTGGCGGGGCAGATGCCCCAGTTTTGGAGAGAGGGATCCCCACTGTGTTTCGTAGGGCCTTGAAAGGATCCGATGACTTTTGTGGGATCCTCCTTCTCAGTGCAGATATTTCCTGGCGTAAGCTGACCAAGCAGAAGCGTGACAGATGTGTGTAGTGCACTTTGTCAGCCTGGGCATCTTCAATCTTCCCGTGCTACTGAGTTAAAATAAAACTGGATTCAGCCAACTCCACGCCTGGGCCACAGCACGAAGGTCATGCCAGGTTGGTACCCCTAGAGAAGTTGCATAGGCGATGCTTCCTGAGGTTGCATGCAAGTTTCCCGGATGGTGACTTTGGAAAACTAAAAAAGCCGGGCCCTCGTGAACTGAGTGCTGGGATGAGCTTGGTGCACCTGGTTGTTATCGATCACGCCTGAAAGCAGCCCGGCCCATCCAAAGGAATGTAGGCTCAAGGCTTTGCTTTCCTTTGTGTCACCATTGCCGAGATGGGTTAGCTCCTTGGTGTGTAAGGCTGATCACTTGATGGTATGATGTGTATTTCTCGACTTTGATGTCAGGCCGCCGATCTCCGAATGGACGATAAGGTGCTGCAAATTGGGGTCATTGTTCGTTCAAGAACCAATCTGAATCTGTTGAAGCAAGCCTGCGATGTGCTGGTGGGGCAATCATGCACAAGAACGGCATTGCAAGGTTGGCCCTTTGATATTGGATGGGAAGCGCGAGGCATACCTCTTCAGGGGACCCTTGCCAGCTGGGGTTAGGATTCCTTTTGCATGGCTATGGCATTGAGAGGGCTTACATCATAGGCACTTCTATATCTAAGGCTCAGGGCCTTTCAACTATACAATGTTCACCTCATATTCAGCAAGACTACCGGCAGCTGTTGGACAAGATGGTTCGCTTTTACACCATGATGGCTGCAAGGATTTTGGAATGAGGGCCGGCGTTATGGGAATGGGGTTTGGCATGATTGAGCCGAAGGGGGACACGGCTCACAGTTGCGGAAGCTTGACAACTCGCAGACCTTAAATCCTAAACCCTGATGCCTTGAGAGCCATTGCATGCAGGAATATGGAAGCATGTGGTGTTCACTGAATTATGGTTTTGGGTATATTATAGTAAGATCCCCATATACCCCATATTCTATCTACTTAAGGGGGACTATATATTGAATTCCAGAATATGTGCAATCTGCAGCCTCCTGCAAGAGCAGTGCACATGGTGGTGTTGATCCATGCATCTTCTAGTTGTCCTTGTCTGTGCGTTTGGAGAGCACCTTGTGAATATCCCTTTGTTGCTTGAAAATCTCACCTTGCTGTGGTTTTTTGAACGGTATGCAAAAGCCAAGAGAAAGCACTGCAAAAAGGTGGCCAGTGTCATGATTTTCGCCTAGCCACCGATTTCCGAAACAATGCTGGCACTGAAGCTCACTGATGTGAACCATAGTCTAAACTCCCTCAAGGCGGTCATAGAAAGGATTATATATGGACTACTATAGGGGCGACTAAGGGGGATACTAGGAGTTTACACTATGGCTCATATATGAACCACTGAATCCCAAGCTGGAACTTGCAGGTTGCCGCGCTCATTCGCAGCCGATTTCTGCAGCACCTAACCGACAAGGGTGGCGGCAGCTTTTTAAGGGGATGGAGGCTGGGACTTCTGCATATAACCCTAATATGGGGGGTTTCCAAAATGAGGGGTACCATTTTAGGGGTCCCAATAATACGGACTATAGTTTTTTTGGGTCTATATTGGGGTACCCTAATTTTGGGAAACTACCATATAATCCCAAAATAACACCTATACAACCCCATTGTAGTATTTTATTTTCCATTATCCCAATATAACCCCAATATAACCCATTCTAACATGCTGACTCTCAGCTTGAGGACAGCTTTGGACCCGCATTTTCGTCAGCGGGCCAGCAAGCAGGACTGCTCCAAATTACATATTTCAATCTGGTGGGCAGTGTGGGGTTAGCAGCTGAGCGACAATTTCAGGGTTCCTGCAGGATGTATTGCAAGCTGCTTCCGCAGTCAACCTGGAGGGTGGCGAGGCGGTTGGAAGCGTGCGAGCTCACGATGGTCTAGTGTACTAAGTACAAAACTGCCCGGCGATTTCAAGCAGGTTGCGGCGCATGTTCTTCTCACGCAATTTGGCAGCTGCGAAACATTGTCCCTTGTGGAGCTGTCGCCAGAAGCCAGGGCCTCTGCGGGCTTTTCTGCTGAATATTTTCAAGAAATGCCTTGACTGGAGGCAGGTGTGTTGGTCTGCCGCTTCCGGCGCTTTCTCAACCAGTTTGGTACGATGAGGTTTCTTCACGTGGACACAATGACATGCTGCACATTTTTCTGGAGTGACTGGCAGGAAGTTTCTCGAAGAGCTGCAATTGGTGGGAAGCAACATGGAAATGAGCTTCAAGAACTTCACGGCATTCTGTCGAAGGCGGGTTGTGTGTGTTTGCAGCCAGAATTGGCTTCAACTTGTGCGAAAATACAGGCATGGGTTTGATCCGGACATGGAGGAAGTACGTGAGATTTTCAGCAGTAGCCCCAGGGAGACATTGCCAGCTTCGTACAAGTTTTTGCATTTGCCAAGTGTTGCACACGTCGACCGAATCAAGGCCTATGCAGCAACGGCAAGGACCACCTATTGCCGGAAGACTTCCTGTTCTTGGAGTTGGATGAAGATGTACGACAGTAGCTCGTTCCACATTCTGGTTTGGCTGCGTGTTCGCGGTTTACACACGAGTCCCTTCTTGTTTGCGGGCCTTCTTACACCAACTACCGGCGGGAAAATCATTTCTGGCATTTGGAATTTTGTAATGTTGAGGTGGAGAACAGCTAGGATAGCTCCATATTATCGAGAGTGGGGCGAGATAGCAACATGATGTTTTGCCTGTCTCTCTATCCATGCCTTTTTTTGTTAGTCTATGACTCAGCTCTGAGCGCTGGCATGTCCAAGATGACACTTCTCCAGTCTTTCAGCAATCGCTGACCCGTGCCGGGTGGGCTGAGTTGTGGATGTAGTGGTACGCTCATGATTGTGGATTCAGGCAAGAATTCGTCAGACAGACGCAGCTGAAGTTCGCAAAGGAGGATGGAGAAGGGCAGCATAGGGCAGCCAGGACTTTACGTGAAGCATTGTGCTCACGTGTACCGGCCGCATGAGCGAGGACGTACATCAAGCTTTTCTCGCGGAAACGTACAACGCAGACCGTGGCCGCCCTGTCGTGTTAGTGTAAGCTTGGAACGTTTCAGGATGTGTTTGCAGCCAGGGCGTGGGGTTTCAAATCGACATCGCCTGGCTCCGCGTCCGTGGCACGACCGTGCCTTTGAGACGTTGCCGCAGGCATGCCAAACATCTTTGCCCTCAACTAGAATGACCTCAATGTTTGATGAGTCTAGGTGATATCACGAAGAAACCAGTCCTGGTTCCACGAACGAAGGAGCAAGAACGCAGAGGCGCTGATGTGCAATTCAGCGCTGCATCTCTTTGCAAATAAGCTGCTGGCATTGTCTGCGTTGCCTACGTACGTGTAAATTGTAGGTTTGCAGCCCGTGTTTGTCGTGACGTCGCACATTGAATCATTCTGGACCCTAGCAGATTCCTGGCATTCTGGGGACATCTTTGCAATTGTGACATGGATGCAATGAAGCTCTGGATGTGTATGCTGTGTTCATGCCTTACAGGCCCGGCAACATTTCCTGACCTACATCCGAACGAACTATGGTTCAGAGGCTGGTCTTCTGCAAGCTCTATGCCACAGCTCTCCTCCAGAGCTCCAGGTGCGGGCTTGGAGAAAGGCCCTGGACCCTGATGTCTCCTGCCTTGAATTCAACTGCTCTCTGATTCTGTGTGGATGGAAGCGGTGATGTTCACAAAGGCCACCTTCCAGCTCACCCTTTCAACCTTCAAGACCGGGCTGGGATACAACCATTCTGCAGTGTGAACAGCTCAGCTGCTCGAAAGTGGAACGCAAAGCCTTGTCAGCAAGGAGATGGTTCCGCAACGAGACGAACCTTCGCCTGAGCCTCAGAAATCTTGTGAGACCATTCCTCAAGAAGATATTGCACACGTCTTGAGTTACACTCTGCTACATGCTAGCTACTGCTATTCAGCAAGCTTCTGGAGGTGAGTGCATCGACCTGCAGACGCTGTGGCGGGCTCTTGACCGGGCGCGGATCTTGAACTGCCGCAATCAAGTTGGCTTCTGTAGAATATACTGTAGAATATCTGTACTATTCTACACTTAACATACTATAGTATGCTATAGCTTCTCACGGTTCAGGATGGCAGCGGTTGCCTGGGAATGGAGGCCCGCACCGGACTTGTGCAACATGCAATTAAAGCGCACAAATATCATATAGGCATATAGGCTTAAGACGGGCTTGACAGGGATAGGTCGGTGAAGTAGGGAATTCTTTATCAAGGAAAGAAATATGCAGGAAAGCTTGGGGGAAACAGATGGAGCAACCGGAACACAGATAATAGACAAAAGCAGGGAATATAGGGATGTGAAGAACAATTTCAGTTTCTCACCACTTTCCTATGCTGTTTTTTCCAGATTGTTCGGCAATTTGCTGTTTTGTTTACAATGTTTTTCATTTGTTTGTTTGGCTATTTCCGATTTGTTCTTTGGCAGTTTCGTATTTTCTGTTTTCTCTATAGAACTAGTAAAGCAACAGGCAATGTAGCAAATTCAGAAAATCGTCGTTGTTCTTCGAACCTCCTAGTTGTTTGCGCATTTGTCTTGTTTCTTTTTTTCTGGCAATTGTTGCGGCTGATCTGCAAGTTTGTCCTGTTTTTTTCGAGTCTGTTTCTTTTCGTCTGTCATGTCAAATGCCTAGCCTGTTTCCTCTAGTCTTTTCTATATTTTCTATATGATTGTATACCTATTTTTTTTCTGATTGTTTGCCGTTTCTGTTGGTCTGCCAGGAGCTTGCACCACAGGCAGCAGCAACACTGAGCTACTTCAGAAAGTGGCTTCGAGGAGCAGCTGCTTGTGGCCTAAATGCGTTTTCAGTTGGTTACGCAGCTGCCAATTTAGGAAGACTGGGCACATGTGCTTCAGCATGGGAGCACGAGGCGGCCACCCCCCTAGTTTGTCAGGGATGCTCGGGGACTCGGGGTCGTGAGTGGACCTTTGGCTTGCGCCAAGGTGGAAGAGGCTTTCTCCAGCTTGCATGCTGACGGCTGGGTGTCGAGGCACCAGACTTGTAGCATCTTGCTTTGTCAGTATGCTAGACTGCTAGACAGGACCAAGCTGCTCGTCAATGCGTTCGCCAAGGACGCTGCTGTTGTCATGTGATGAACAAAATATATCAGAATGTGTGTTCCTGTGCCGTTACAGTCGTTACGCTCGGGCAGGCTGTCAAGCAACTTGGTTGGCGACCGATACTGAATCATGACACGCGAGCTGCTTTGCTTGCTTCGCCTGCGCCCAAGTTTGGGATTTCAAAGCCTGTCTGTTATGCCATTTGAACGTAAAGTGCAGAACAGCTGTGCAGGTTGGACTACTTTGGCTGCGGCTTCCTGTCTCGCTCAGATCTGGAATGGTTGGACGCCTGGGAGCCGCCCGAGTGGTTATACTCGCAGCCGGATGCTGAAGCCTGGGTACCTGCCTTTGTGACTGCAGCTGGACAGAAGCTCGACTTTCCTTTTTCTCGCATCAATGAAAGATTGCTTCGTGTCGTCAGGTGCAGCTCCGGCGTCTTATCAATGGGAGCGACTCAGCTGTGTTTGTCCTGCTGCCTAGTGAGCATCTCTCAACACTGTAGAGCCACATGGCTTGTGTGAAGGGTTCGAACATCCACTTGCTGCTTGGCGTGGTCTTCTGGATCGAGATGCCCTTGCCTCGAGCAGGGAACACGAGTAGAGACTTGTGCCCGCCAAGCTTCAAGCCAGGACTCCAACAGCGTGTCTTGGAACGAGTTCAAGGAGCCGTTGGGCTGCCTTGATGCTGGTATGTTGTCAATGTCGTCAGTCAAGTCATGTTTCCAGGAGGCTTGCAGGAAAGTGGGCTTTCAAGGCAGAGTTGCCCACATTGCCCATGCGGCAGAGTCGCGCCTGAAAGTTGCGGGTCGCGGTCTTGGCGGTCAAAAACTGCCAGGCAACATGGGCGGTGCCTGGCGGGCGCTGGATCACGATTTGTCAGGCTTGCGGGGCTTGGGGCATCGAGCGAAGCCTCTGCTGCAAGTCTGGCAACGCGGGACAGCCAAAGAGGTTTCCATTGTTCAGGCACCATAACCTTGAGGGAGTTCGATGCGGCCAGCGCCAAAATTCTGACATCTTTCAAGGCTTTGCGCTGCCAGCTTCTCAGTGCACTTGAGCATCCAAGTTCTCAGCTGCAGGCTTGGTGTGATTCACATTACGGCTCTTTCGAACACCTCTTCAAGTGAAGCACTTAGTTTTGGGCAGCGCTGGTCCGGTTGCTTCCCATCGACAGTCTGCCAGGTCCATGGACAAGGCTGGCCGAGATTCCGTGACAGTGTGCTGCTGATGCAAATTCAAGCTTTCGTTCTGGGCTGGTTGAGCAGAGTCATCGTATTTGGCACCAACCGTCGCATCTCTCAGTGGAAACAAGACTGGGACACGGTTCTGAAAAATGATCTGCCCGGCAAGAGACTAGTACGGCGTGCGCGTGCGCACAGACGCAACGAAGATGGTGAAGACCGAAAAACAACATTCGCAATCAAATCTGGTACCATATTCGACGACAGAGGGTCAAAAGGGTTGGGTTTCACAGGGCCGCAGCCCGCAGCTTGGCAGTCAGCCTGGTTGTAGCACTGCATGGCTCCTCTTGCTCTCAGAGCATCCCACCATGCCATGCCCCGAAGAAGATTGCGACACCACCTACAGGTCGTGCAGATCGAACGCTCAAGCAGCATTCGCTTACATCCAAACATCATGACACTTTGTTTCACGCAGCCTGTTCATCGATTTGGGCGTCCTTTCTCACTGGCTGTTTGTAGGACATGTGGGAGTCAGAGAGATGTACCAGTGTCCGCCTTTCGCACGGCAACCAGACCTCGCTTGTAGGGACCTCTATACACAGCCGGGCTACGGGGTGCAACCCTGACGGAATCTGACGGAGCATGCGTAGCCTGAAGAAGAAGATGTTCACGGCACTTCCATTAAAGCTTGGAGGTGAGATGTGGCAGAAAAAGGCAGTGGAGGGAAGCTGGCTGGGCTGTCTCAAAGCCGCGCTTTTGCACATGATGATGCTGCCCATTGGCTGGCGCTGGCCTGGCAAGCACGCATACAGAAGAAGAAGAAGAAGTGGTAGTGGAAGTGGTAGCAGAGAAACAAACGCGGCACAGAAAAGTCGCAGAGGTATGCAGGGAGTGGCCGTGCGGGCGAAGCTATGCCACGCAACACCTGCCTTTGAGGTATCCTGAAGCATCTAGAGCAAAGTTCCTGCACCTCTGCAGGATCGGAGTGGAGGAGTCTCGCTCCTTGGCTTTGGAATTCTGTAGTCAGCAAATTGTTTGATATGCTATCTTATATGATTAGACGACAGGTTTTCGGAGTTGCGGCGTGCCTGCAAAAACGGTGGTTGGAAAGGCTCCTCCTGCAACGCAGCGCGTGCTGAACTGAAGAATAGAGGACTGCCTTTCCGAAGGCAACGTCCACATCCTCTTTAAGTGCCTGGATGTGGACAGTGGTGATGGTCAAAAGACAATCGAGCTGGAAGAGCTGTGCTTCAGCTGCAAGGTCTCCAAACTATATGAGTCATGTACAGACGGTCGAAACCTGCCCCCTCATCATCCCTCATCTGTGAAAGCTCCGAGGCAGTTTTTGGATTCTTGGGACCCGCTTGAAGATGAGCCCTTGGAGGCGCAGGCATGGATCTTACATGCTCATTTTGCGCAAAGTCCTCTGCATCCTTTGCATCAGGAGCAGAGCCAGGCTGGGCTGGTAGCACCAATGTCATTTCGAACAGACTGGGTCGTGCGTGCAGGTTCTTATGGAGTGCCTTGGCAGCGTGAAGCTGGTTTGGCAGCGGCTCACTGTAGTTGTTTTTGAGGCGCAAGTTGCCTGCTCGGAGATCACAGCTTTCGAGATCATCCCCGGCCGCTGCTCTTGGATTCTTGTTTTCAGTTTGTCTTCCCAGGCAGGGTATGACCCACTGCCAGGTCTTGCCAAAGCTGGTCTGAGACTTCACGGTGATCTGGTGAATTTGAGTGGCTGCGGATAATTTGCCACTGGCAAGCCCACAGATGACGCGCACCCAAGCTCCAGTTTCACCTACGTGTGTTAATGCAGCCTTCACGGGCAGAAGCAAAACGTCCGGAGAACTTGCATCCTATTGAAGCCGTCAAGAAGTTGCTGCACTCTAAGGTTCTCCGTCAGCACCTCAAGGGCCGGCAGCGAGGATGCCAGGAAGATCTTTCGTCTTTGTGGTGCCCAGTCAGCTCTGCTCAGTTGCTGCTGGCGCTGCCGATATTGCTGCTCACAGCGCTGTGACTGTCAATGTGGCCAGGCTAATGGATGGACGGCCCAGAGCAGATGTAGAGCCAGATCCTCACATTTCTGACATGTTGATACATGCTGGGCATGCTGATGGCTTGTCATGTGTTGAAAGTCGCTCAAACAGAAGGCAGCTGCGAACGGTGCTGTTGAATCGCACTGTTGGCAGAGAGGAGGCCAGTTTGCCTAAGCCGATGCCTAGCCTCCTACTGGCTCATTGGCCCCAGCTACATAAAATCAGCAATGCCATTTGTAAGGCGCAGACCGCAAAGCTCTGTGCCAACTGGGCGCTGACGGCGGCCCCACTGGGCGAGCCTCTCGAAATGGAGGCACCCTTCCAGCGCACATGTGATTCTCTCAACCTGTGAAGATGTCGCAGGCCCATTTGCAGGAGCGACCTTTAGTCCACAAGGTTCCCGACGCGGAGGCAGCCTCAGAGGGGAATGACTTCTGACTTCTGAGGGCTTCTATGCTTGCCGTTGCTCTAATCTTGTTGACAGGAGCCGCAAGTTATAGCAGCACAGAGCTCCCCCGCACCCAAGGCGTCTGCTAAGGAGGACTGAGCTGCGCATTAAGGATCCACATCTGCGTGTGATCTCAGATGCACATCTTCAGGCGGAGCCGGTGAGCAAGGCTGAACCGTCCAAGGCCGAGCCGCCCAAGGCCGAGCCGCCCAAGGCAGAGCCGCCTAAGGCCGAACCAGCCAAGGCAGAGCCAGCCAAGGCCGAGCCAGCCAAGGCCGAGCCAGCCAAGACCGAACCAGCCAAGGCAGAGCCATCGCTGAAGGTAGAGGAGCTGGAGGCACTCTGGATTCATCAATTTCTGCAAGATCCCTTCAAACAAAACACTACTGCATAGTACTGCTAGGATGCGCCTCCTGAAAGCGAAGCGCATCAAAAGGCAGGTGATGGCAGCCTGTGCAGCTTCGATCAGCACATGACGTATACCTTCACCGCAGGTGCGATTCGACCAGAAAAAGGGAACTTGGTCCTTCAGACACAAGAGCCAACACTTCCAGACCACGGTTAACGCGGCAGCGAAGAGTAAAGAGGACACGCGCGTGAAGTGTGAATTGCTCCAATCTGTACACGACATTCCGTCGGCATAGGCGGCTGCAAAGATTGCTCGTGCCAACCTCAGATTGAGGGAAAGGCATGCGTCGTTTGCTGACTTGCAGGTTAGTTGCCTTCAATGGACGTGGGGCTTGCGCTCTGACCCGCTGTAAAAATCACTGTGGAACATGTGGAACTGGTCCCTATCACCTGTCGGGAATTGCAGGGCCATGCAGGGCTCCTTCAGGGCGTCGTGCTGTTTTTGAGGACGCGCGCCCTCTGGACCCTGAAGTACACGATTTGTCCAAGTTTAGGCTTCGCAACTTTCTGTTAGCAAGGGGTATGGTTTTGTGTTTGGGATAAGGCCTCAGGAG